AACCCCATGCCCTTCACGCATCCCTAGACCCTAGACTGTACACAACAAACCACCCCAAGCCAAAACCCTAGACAATCCAAAACTTTGAATAGCCCAAAGCCCTAACAACCCCAAGCCCTAAACCCTAATTAGCCCTGTCTTGCTTTCAGGGCCAGAGCTCCGAGCCCGCAAGCGGTGCGCGGTCCACTATATTCCGACTCGGGAAGCCCAATGCCGAGCAGATATCTGCACCCCAAGAAACAGCGTTTTCTTTCTTTCAGGGCTCTAGGGGGCCCTGTCGGACCCTTGAGGCAGCGCCTCAAGCCCGCATGCGAGCAACGCAGTCAGGCTAGCAGACCCAGAACAGCTTATACTCCAAACACATTCGGGCTCAGGTATGCACCTCCATCCTGCTCGACTGGGAGATGAATTGTGGCTAATGGTCACCAAGTGTAAGTTGACCCACTGTTAGCAAACAGGACCCCACCTGCAGATCACATGCGTGAACAACCACCACAACAATCACACCAGGTAGAAGTAGGGCGTGGCAAGAGGCTGGACGATGGGCTTCTACAGCCCGCAACCTCCTTCTCTACCTCTAAACAGCCCTCGTTCTCTTTCTTTCTTTCGTTCAGCCCTCGTTCTCTTCTTCTTCTGCGGGCTATACCCACCCCTACGGGTGGGTCGGGGCACCGCCCGAGCCCCCACTGTCCTGTCTGCGCAGTCGGGACCAGCGAATACTCAGAAGCTACATTCAGGTCGCCATCTCTCTCTTTATTTCTTTCATCTGGGCTGTTGGTTGAAACCCCTCGTCGAGAGCATGGTTGTTAAGGTACGTGGCCAAGCTTTCTTTCTTTCTTTCGTTCAGGCTATGGAGGAAAGAATTGCTTCCTTCCCCCGGGCTTCGCCGCCCAGCCCGTGTTGGGCATACTAGGTCCTACAGCACCCTTCGGCTCCAAAGGACGGTGGGCAAAGCGTTACATTAACATGTTAGGAGCCCCTAAACAAAACAACAACAAGTGGTCCTTTGGGGAATGCATGGCTAGCCTCAAAAACATGCGTTGCCTGGAGGTTGCCAGGTCTGGTCTAAATTTGGATTGAATTAGGATTGGATTGAATTTGAGGCTTCTTGGTATGGTCTGTATGCAAAGATTTATATGAATTACTGGAAGCGGTTTAAACGCGGATTGAGTTGATTGTGCAACGAATTTCCACCGGTTTCGGGGTGGCTCAAAATAACTAGGACGGATTGAAGTGTGCATTTAATTTGTGCCACTCATCTGTTATGCGCCTTTGTTGCTTGCGTCAAAGGAGGACATGCCAAAGTCAGCTATTTTCCTCATTTGCCCGCTCCTAGGCTGTCGACATCCACGTCTATTGCATTGGAGGCTGCATGTGGCCTGGTGGTGGCCATTTTCCTGAAGTTTGAGGATTGCCTCAGTGGTGTCCTTGCCAGAGTCACGGTCCAGTAGGTGAACTTTGTCCCTCGCCCAGCGTAGTTGGCGTGGAGAAGCAAGGCGTGGTAGTGCAGGGTTGGGTCAAAGGCCTGTAGTGCAGCTCCTGACACCGTACTGGAGCGACCTCTGAATCGATCTTGGCCAGAGTGATCAGGGTGTACACGCGTAGTGGGTCAAACTTGCCCGGGATGATTGTGGCTGGACCACAGGGACAAAGCGCAAGATCTTTCTCTACAGCCCGCCTGTCACTACAAGTGGGAGAAGGAGTGCTACCTCACGGGCTCACGGAGTGTGAACAGGGGGCTTGAAATTGCAAAATGCTTGAGCCTCTCTCTCTCTCTCCCACGTGCTCAGTGCAAGACTGTCAGACGCGAAGCCAAGGCACGGCGAACCGCGTGTTGCAGTACAACCCAGCCCTATCCTAAAACCCCAGCAAGGCCAAAGCTTGCACCCTACCAAACCCCGCAAACAACCCATTGCTTCCTGACTTGTTCCCAAGTTGTCTTGCTGATGTTCCCGAGTCGTGTTCTCGACCCACAGCCTTCACAGCCTTCTGTTCCTGAGTCAGGCTCTGGTCTGTTCTCGACTCGCGCCGTCTCTAATCCTTGCTTCCGAGTCAGAGACGCAGGTCAACGATCCAGTGTGTCCGGATCGGGGTGCAGATCCGGGTGCGGATCGCAGGGGGGGCCCAAAACCAAACATAGAAAATCATAGAAACAAATGTCATAATGCGCCACGTGAGTCCAATGAAGGGACATGAACCACAGTTCATTCTCGATGCCTCATCGTAAGCATTGATGATCACTGAGACAGGGATGTCAATTGTCTCCATCATCAGGCCCACGAAATACTCCTGGTCACCACCAGCCATGTTTTGTTTCGCAGTGAACAAAATCCCTTCAATTCGGTCCTTGCGCTTCCAGAAGTGGTGCCCTGTATGACCTATTCCTCAGATGTGTGCTGCAAGCTGTAGGCTTGTTGGCTTGTCTACCTACTGACACCACGTGAACTGAAGCATTGAAAGCAGTGGCTGACCCGCCATGGAGGCGGCATGATGATGCGCTCGCCGTCAAACTCAAATTCGGCGAGCCCGGCCAAGCCTGCTGGTTTTCAAAACCAGCAGATAAGCAATAATTCTATTTCTGCCAATCGCAGGTGGCTCTGCCTCGCAAGTCGTAAGCTTGGCGCTTTGCAGGATCGCTGAGAACATCAAAAGCCTTGTTGACCTTAAGCAGTTGGGGGGTGATCGTCACGGAGACATGGCAATAAATGCCTGGCTGGGCCTGCGCGAAACGCTCGGCAACTGCTTCCTGCTCCTCAGCCGAGGCTGTCCGGAAAAGATCTGGGTGGGACAGGCGAGCCTGCTGACCTCAAGCGCAACATGCCCCACCACATGTAATCAGCTCTCAACGACGGCAACTGCACATGCAGCTGAAGAGCGGTACGCAGCCCGGATCTCCGATAAACCTGCATCTTCTGGCACTCCAAGAATGGCATAGAAGCTCGCAGGGTCCAGCTTTGTTGCCCCATTCACTGCAGGATCCTTTGCCCTCTGTTGCGAAGCCGCCTTGCTGGTGTCCGAAGCAGGCGGCGGTTTTGGCTGCTTGGGTGGAGGTGGAGGTGGCGCTGGTGGGCTCGTGGCTGTGGTGGGTTGCTGCGAGCGCTTGCTCTGCACATGCGATGCATGCGATGCTGGTGCAGTGCGGAAGGGGGAGGAGCTGCCTTGAGAAGGTTGGGTCTGAGCTCTTGAGGACGGCAAATTTGGCTGGGCGGGGGCTGGTGGAGGTGTCTTAGCCTCTGCCCGCGGCTGAGACGGAAACCCAGAAGGCGTAGGAAACCCTGACTGACGCTGGCCTGACCATGTTGGTGCTGGAAATCCCGAGGGTGAACCACCCTGTGCAGGCACACCATTTGGGACCTGCCGTGGTGGCACGGACGGTGCACGCGAGCTACTTGCAGGCCCCGGCTGTGCTTGGACTCCAGTCCCAGCCTCAGCTACAGGCGGTTGCCATTTCTTCTGCATCACGGCTGCGAAGCTAGACAAATTGTCTGAAGCGGGTTGCTTCGAACTAGAATGGCCAGCGGCTTGCTGGCTGTTGGAAGTGGATGGCGTTTGTGATTGCTGCGATGGGGAGCCTGATTGAATTTGGCTTTGTTGCTGGCTAGAAGGAAAGCCAGATTGGGTCTGAGATGAACGGCTAGGGAACCCCGACGACGTCTGCCGAGGAAAGCCCGACGCTGACGATGTCTGAGCGTTCTCGGGCGGGGAACGCGGAGCTGAGCCTGCCTGTGCCTTTGCATGCGGCTCCGAAGTGCTCTCCTGCTCTAAGCTCGGGTCTGGCTTCTTGGCAATAAAAAGCCCTTCAAAAGCTCTTCTGCCAGTTGCCGCAGCCCGGTCCGACCTGCATGACCTGCCAAGCCCAGCAGAGCTGTCTGCGCTGGTTTGGCGTGAGGATCCCCAGTTTGGAACAACGAAAAGCTGGGTGATGCTCGTGATGACCAAATAGAAAGAAACCTGAGCTGGCCATCCAGTCATCACGCCCTGTGATACAGCACAACTGCAACAGCCAGCCAGGGAGCAAAGTTCGCAACGGGCCTCCGGCTAAATGCCGCACGCCTCCAAAGGAGAGCCATCGTCCGCAGCGGCAGTGAGGGCTTTAAAATGTTGTACGTGGGGGATATAGAACTGAACAAGGCCGTGGTCTCCTGCCAGTGTAGGCTTACAGTATGGCCTCATGCCAGGTGTGCTGACTCCGCTCAATTCTGGACAGTCAGACGCTTGACACATGTTCTGGCAGCAGCCCCTTGTCAAATGCAGTAGCATGATTCCCTAGGATTCCCTAGTTGCTTCGCGTTCGCTGTTTGCTTCAGCGCTTTGATTCACATCGATAGTGTGCTTGTCCGTCTGCTCATGACGCCACTTTTAAAATCAGGAACCAAGCCCGGAGGCCTTTGGACAGGTTGCGGCTGGCAGCAGCAAGCGGATAGCTACATCAGAACTTGGCAATCTGAGCCAGAGGCTGGACACAGAGAAAACCATCGTCCTTGCAATTTGTGGCATGGCATAACGTTCCGTGACAAAGTGCTTTAGCTCACAAACTATTCGAGCCAGTGGTTTGTCTGATTTGTCTGCCAGACTTTGGGCGTCCTCCTTGGCACAGCCCAGGATTGCGAGGATGCCATCTTCATCCCTCATCTGCACCTTGCTGCTGCAGGCCACACGCATCCATACCTTGTCCTCAAACTTACGGTGCTACTTCTCTGTTGTGAACGGGGTGATTTCTAGGCTGGGAGCCATCGCAAAGTTTTTCCCGTTGTCACCTTTGAAGAAGCGTACCTTATCCGAAGCCGGGCACATTCTAGCAACAAGCATCTTTCACAGCCCTTCTTAGCAAAAAGCAAATCTAACAATCCCGTACGGGGAGAGCCCCTCCTGCAAAGATCAGGCTTGATGCGGGATCCATGAAAACGCAAACGGATTTGAAATGATGATAATGTTGTGCCAGCGAGTCCTTGAGATCCTTCCAACTCACCGATCTTGGAATGTCATCCTGATGCACCACGCCGCGTGTTGCACTTGGTGGTTCAACCCAAGTGGAGTAGAAAGCAGGACGTAATCTGCAAACAGGCTACTGGCACGTCTGAAGCTCAGGCATACCCCCATTTTGCCCAACTCCAATCTCCTCTTAGACTTGTTAGGTGCGCGGCAAAACGAAGAACCAGGCCCCGCTCCTTGGCAAACATCACCCTACCTCCACTGCCTCTTTCGACCACAGTTGGAAAAGCTGAATTGCAAACGTATCAGCTAAAGGGGACAACTTCCTGTGTGCAGATTCATCCTACATGGATTCCTGGGCACAGCGACGATGGACAGACCCCATGCTTCATGCTAGCGAGTCTCTTCTTTCTGGGCAGCTATCTCTGCCTCATCCTCCAAGCCTCGGCCGCAAACAAAAGCACCGAATGCTGAACTCTGCACGATTCTGGAAAACATTGTATGAAGGTTTGGGCAGGGAGAAAATGGCAGCTTCCTGACAGGCAAGAGCCACAAGCGAACGACAATTGCCCGCCACAAGCATTGGGCTCTGGTGTGTAGGAAGGCCTGGGGGCGAGGCTTCAGGTTCCGGTCGCTCCACTGGACGACCCTGAAAAAAACAGTATATGACGCCGTGGCGGTGAGTATTTGTGGTGCTCAGATTTTAACAGAAATCCTCAATCATTTCTATGTATTGTAAGGTTTGAGTAAAAATTCTCTAGGCAAATCTCTTTAGAAATGTGGGAGATGCTGGAAAAGCTTTAGGATAGCTCCAGGGAAACTCTGAGAGACCAAGACCAGAGGGGGGTGTGAGCGATTTTTTTGTTGCTGCCCCCCCCTTCTCTGGTCTTGGTCTCTCAGAGCTTCAATTCCTCAGAGCCTAGAGCTTCTCAGAATTCCCAAATCTCCAATCTCCTAGAGCTCCTGCGGAGATCTCTCTAGATGGACTCTAACCATCCCCTCGGCCCACCCTGACCTAGGCGCTCCTCAAGTTTACTTACCTTCCTCATGTAAGTCTCATATTGGAGAGGAATGGTGTCGATAGATGTGGTTGTTAAACTGAATAGTACCATTCACCAGGCCTCCTTGTACAAAGGTGTTTTCTTTGTTCCCCACCCTTCCAGAACGTTTGCTGCTCTCAGAAGAACTGGCAGAACACTATATGCATTTCAATTCTACAAATCATAAGTAAACGGCAAGGCCAGGCCAGGCCAGGCCATAAACCACTTCTTGTTTATCTGAAGTAAAGGTTTACAAAGATGGTACTGTGCTTCGAACCAGACGCACTATGAAACATAACAAGTAGCAGCCCGGTTTCATGGCACAGTCATTGCATAAACAATGTTTATGATATAAAATGTGCACCCTTTTTGTATGCCATGTAGTTCTACTAGAGGGGTTAAGCAAATATGCAAAACATCAGTTCTATTTGCCATATTAAGGGAACCGTTACCAAATGTAAACATATTGGGGGCAGGTCTCCTAATACACGTAATATAGTTACGAATAATAGTAGAAATCTTATTTGGCTATAGTTCCTAGATGCATCAATATATTAATATAAGTCATTGTGCATTTTATGAACCAAGCATGCAACTTCACCAGCCAAATTATATCTATGAAAACGCTAAAAACACCGCACAAAACAGTGTTCAGGTGCTTTAGGTAAACTATCATGTAGGTATACCGCGGTCAACTGGACCCAAAATCTTTCCAAGTATAGTGTCTCGGGGAGAGGATGGGGAGGCCATTTCTATATAATATATGCATATACATATTTAGGTATATGAATTAATAGCCATCAACATATGAAGTCAGGCCCCTCCACTATGAACAGTATAACTCTGAATGAGAGGTTATGATATCCATATTCCCTGTGCTCGTGGCAACAAATATGTAGATGTAACCGACGTTCTGTGTACTGGGGCCACAGGATGTGTGAATACCCTAGCGAAGGCCTCTCCACTGCCCTGAATTGACTTCATATGATTCGCTTCTATTTTGAGAAGGACTATCCCAACATAGTGGATATACCTTACAGAATTAGATTTTGGTTTGTTGCGGAATCAACATTTCGGAGCAATATGCATGCAACATCACCTTCCCCTCGAAAAATGGGCTGGGTTTGGATGGACCCAATAGAAAATTGCGGCAGGGCATCCAAGACTTGTCAAGTTTATTGGGCTTGGTTATACAAGGCGTCTTCAACAATAGCGTCAAGTATATGGATATCCTTGCCATAATCGGTACATTCCGCAAGAACGCCTGTAAAGGGTATGGATGCGCCCCATAGAAAATTATGGTAATGCATGTAGGGCTTTTGAAATTTATTGGATTTGTTACGCAAGGAGACTTGAAAACAATTGCAAGTATATAACGGTCTTTATCATAAATACTGTATGCCGCAGGAGAACTGCTACATAACCTCTTACCTGAGTGCTTCCGTAAGCCCGAACTTCTTTAAACTTCCATGAAACATTCTCACAGACTATGCCGATCATGATGCATGTACTTTCACATAGATATGCCTTAAGTAAAGCTCGCCACCACCAATATGGAAGTGATAACCTATACGAGCTGTACGAGCCATACTGGCGAGGACTCACTCTATCTACTTAGCTGCATTTATCTAATCTGTATCATGTCACACTAGCTGTGCTAGCGGGTAATTTTTGCTAACCTAACTAGGATATGTATGTGTATAGCCAGGGTCAACTGCGGCATAAAGTAAAGCAAAAACTCACACAAAAATCCTAAAAACCTCGAAAATACAGACCGCCACGGCGTCATACTCTCCAGTAAAAAAATCGGGAACCACCCCAAAACCACCGGGCGTCCCTTTCCCAGCCTCTCCCAACCCCTCCCTCCCCCCTAGTGCCCGGACCCACCTCTGGTTTCGGATTGCTGGCGCGCACCACCACACTGCACCGTCGAGCCCTGAACGGTTTGGAAACAGGGTTGCATCTATGAATGTTGAGGTTTGCAAATCGAAGCTTTCAAGTCGCGGGGGTATCACTCCCACGTTCACGGTTCCACGTTTGGGTTTCGCCGTAGCGTCAATATCAAGCAAGGCCGCGGAGGGAAAGCGGCGTGTACCAAAGAGCTGCACGTGTTGCAGCTTGCTGGTACATGCAGAATGGCTGCCGACCCCAATGCCAGCATTAGCATTTCTCTTACTCGTATAAATATTGACGCTGAAGCTGGATTCGCTGCCGCGCCTCCCTTCACCCCTTCTCGTGGGCAGCTAGAAGATGTGCCACCCGACGGAGCCAGCCGACAATGACTGCAGGATGAGACTTCGCGCACAGGTGAATTTTGCTGACCGAAACTCAAAATTGCACGGCCAAAGCCACACCACGAAGCAAATCACACCCTCTGATGTCGGGCCAGGGGTTCACCGCTCACTTCTCATTTGGACTTGCTGCTTGGTCACGTCGCTTCTTGGCGGCGTTCGCCTCTTCCACACCTGCTGCAATCACACCATAAGAGATGTCCTAGTGAGAGTTGTGGGATGGCCTTCGGTCTCACGCTGCCTCTTCTGCGAAGCCTTCTCCTGTGCAGCATGTGCAATTCTCCATATTCCCACTTAGATTTCGTTTCATAGTGCTGACAGACCAGAAAGGCTTGCCTCTCGGAAGTCGCACATTCTGCTCCTCAGTGTTGGGAGAGGATGGTGGAGTAGGCAAACATGCTGTTGCACCATCTGTGCGTCAGACCGCCACGCCATTTCTCTAAGCTTGTGCTGACTCTACAAGTTCCGGTCGGTTGGACAAAAGATCGATTGCCCAGCCAGAGTTTACAGCACTTTCTGCCCAGGCAATGTCAGATGCGCAGACGAACTTGCAGGTCAACGGCGAGGGCGAAAAGGCAGATAGATATGCCTCACAAGTTGAACTTCAAGAGCTTCTAGCATGCGGAATCGAACAAGCAACAGCTTTATGTAGTATCCCAAATCCTAAAGGTGGAATTGCAAAACTCGACATTCATGCAGTGAGATGAGAAAAGCCACGAGAGCCTTCAACTGGGGAAGCACCGCCAAAAGTCTCCTGCCTTGAGCTGCAAGGTGCGAGCCTGTGGATCTGCCCCTGCATCAATGAGTGGACCCACAACTCCTCGAGTCCTGTGACCTGGTGCAAGTGAAGCTGCACCCCACTGTGAGCCCTATGTAAGAGGGTCGCAATACGAACTCGCTCCAAGCCTTTCCATGGCTGCCGTGCTATCAAGCTCGATTTCACAGAAGGCCAAGGCGCGATAGCCGCCGTAGCTTGCATCGCCTGAGTCTGAGGATCCATCTGCTGTCATCTTGCGGGACTCGAAGGCAGCGCCTGTAGCTTTCTGAAGCATCAACAACAGCAAGAAGCCATATGAAGCCGTTTACTTACCCCTGGCCAGGTAACCCCACACATCAAGCTGCCATCAGTATCCGCATGCCCAGTGATGCAGAAATGTCGAAGATCTGATTCAAGGGCGGCACCATACAGGAGTGCAGACCAACCACTTGGAGTCACCTGCAGGTCCAAGAATTACGGCTGTCGCATAACTTGTGTTTCCCAATCAGGATCGCGCTGAAATGAGTACATGACTGTCTGTGCGCTCAGCAGCCACTGGTCCATAGTCTGCGCACGCTTTCAGACACTGAGTGCACAGTTGAAGCAACGATGGCATCAGCAAGATTGCAATGCGCAGAAGGGACAACTCCAACCGATGCTTGCGAACCTTTGACGCGCTAGCGCCAAGACGAAGAATTGCCTGAACCCACCGAACACCTGCCAAGGGGTTTACCAAGCTTTCGCATTGGATGCGGGGAACAGCTCATGGATGCCAAGCACAACAGAACGGCTCACTCCATGAAAAGCAACCAAAATGCGGAGGCCCATAGACCCACCATGAAACTGCACGTGTTCCTTCAGATTTGACAATGTCAGTCGGTAAATCAAGGGAGGCGCACCACTAGCCCACATCGTCCCACTTGCCCCGTTTGCCCCGATTGCCCTGCTCGCCCCACTTGCGGAGATATAGCCTACCGGCTGTGCAGTTCAGGACTGCTGAGCTTTCAAAAACCATCAACAACACCTCGCTGTTTACGATCGATCTACATCTACTGTTTATCTGAAACCGTCATGAATTGTACACTAACGAAATCAGACCAGAGCATGAATAAAGCATGCAACACATCTGAAATACAGGTATCGGTATAGGATTGAGGGATAAGGGTCCCCATGGTCTAGTGAAAGGGATCGGATTTGCCATGAGGCAGCTGGGGCAAGTGGGGCGACTTGGGCAAGAAAGGCCGAGTGGGCGAGCCAGGCTTCGCAAGTGGGGGCGATTTCGGCAAGCGTGACCAACAAAGCGAGCCCAGCAAGCATGGTGAGTGGGGAACGCGGGGCGTGAGCGGTTGAAGTTCCCTCCTGCGGTCGCCATGGAATTTTGTTGTGAGGAGACAGTAGGTGAACTCAATACCTGATTGAGTCCTGGCGAGCTGGCAACAAGAATCCCTCAAATACGGTCAAACAGAAGATGGGCGAAGTTGGCAACCCCTGTGCTTCGATGTGCAAATGGCCTTGGCGAGTTGCCCACATGAGGGTGGTGGCCTCCGTCAGCCCGCGCGAACGTGTGCAAGCGATCAGCGCGCGGCCATCCAATTTGCCTGGAATGTTGTTTGCGTAACAGTTTTTCATAAAGAGAGGACAGAAGGCCACATACGCTTGAACTCCAACGATCATGCAAGCAACATGTAGCAGACATGAAGTCTTGAAGCAGGTGACTTCATCATCTTCTAGGCCGCAAGAACCCTTCAACTGCAGAACCAAAATGCCAGGGGAGAGCAATGAGCGTACAGGAAGCGAGAATACAAGCGCTACATAAAACCAAACACGATGTTGGTACTACGTCGGTCCAACCAGCAGGGGTAGGAGAGAGGGTTGTCCTGCGAAGCAGCCCGGGTGCCCGGCGTATCCGCAGGGACAAGGTTCAGCAGTGCGACTTCTTCAAGGCTTCCACCCAAGGCGAGGCGAATGCGGAGAGCAGCTTCTACTGCTTTGAGCTCCAAACGCATGGCCTCTTGGATTCCAGTCCTGCGCCACACGAAAAAGACGTGGCACTGAGTTCCCGACTGATGCCCGTTTCGGCCAGGCTGCGAGACTGCCCCATTTGCAAATTCGCGCGCCAGTTGCTGCACGTGCTCAGATCTTCTATTTGGCTTCGGTGCATTTGCTGGCTTGCCCAAGTGAGCCCAGATGTAAACCAAGCTCGCCTCAACACCACTCATGGATAAGTCAACTAAGTGACAAGCTGCTCAGTGCAAAGAAGCCTGCACTGCTATCTAGCAGCTAGCTTTGGCATCGGTGAATTTTCGGCGTCAACGCCAGCAAGCCAGCTCAGCCGCAACACCGCGGCCCTAAACCTTTTTGCGTTGACCAGCTGCTCGAGGCTTTGGTGAGCTGCAAAAGCATCCTGACTGCGGTGCACGAGGCAGGTAAAGTCAGCGCAGCACAGTCGGCAAGACAGCCAGCAAGAAGTGGCCCAACCTCCCTCTGCAAGTCCTTGTGCACTGCCTCAACGTGCTGCTGCAGGGCGCTCCAGTCCCCTGAGCAAGTGCGTGCAAGCGCCAGCCAGCAAACGACCGGCAGTGACGGCCTGAGTCTGGCATGCCCGCGCTTGACAAGGAAGATCCAGCAACACGAAATGTTTGTGAAGGCATGTCAAGCATTCGGTTCCTCTTCTTGAAGCTGATGGATGGTGGGAGGCAAAGCGCTAAACGAACTATGGAAAGGCGCACAGCTCGCTACAGATGGGGCGCAAAAGCAAGGCAGCCGTGTCGACGCCAAGCAGCTTTGAAGATACGCCCATGGCTCATAGCAGGCTGATCTACCCTTGCTTGACAGCATCACTGTCACTTCTGCTCCTCTACGCGTTCTGCAGATCAACTGTCTTGTGCTACAGGTGACCAACGCGATGGCTGGAACCAAAGAGCAGGGCATGTGTCCATCACGCAGCCCGGGCAGAGGCCAGCTACCCATCTGTTCACGCTGTGCGCAAGCTCCTCGTGTTAATCTACAAGTTTGTGCTCGTCGCCAAGGCTGCCAAGGCTGCCAAGACTGAGATGCCAGCGCATGGATTGTAAGCCCCTTCCAACTGAGATGGTGCCTTGGCAAAAGTTGGCAAGAGTTACCTGTTTGCAAATGGTTCGGCCCATAGAGCTCTGGGCATGGTAGATTCTATAAACATGTCCATGATGAGGTCATCTTGGCTCACTCGCTTCAGCCACGCAAATCACCAAACAATCTCAGTATGATTTGAAACCATTAGCATTTCCACTATCCGGTCAAAAGTTCTGCCCTGCACTGAATAAGCAGTTTATTCTGTAGAAGTTGTTTCAATTGGGCCAAGCTGCTCCATGGCCACCAAAGCAACGGCTGCCTTAGAGAGATATGGTGGCTGTTGGTTTCTGGTAGCAATTTTGCTGCACTCTGCTTGCGCAAGAACAACACAAGTGCCTCTTCTGTCTCGAACTCTACCTCGACCGTGCCCAAAAACGGGTGTTCGCCTTGGGCTCCAGGCGCCGCAGCCCAAAATCAAGCGAGGATTTCCCGTGGCCGACCCTTTCCATCAGCTTGTGCAGTGACCGGATACGAGCCATGGACCGTCCACATCTGGATGTCTATCTTTCAGCCTGGGCACCAAGACAAAGCAATAGCGAACGATCATAAACGATCTCACCAAACTCATGTACGGGGCATACAACGATGAATATGATGAAATGATGACTGATCATATGCAGAAATCAAATTCGCAACGAGGAGGAGCGGGTCGGGTTGGGCATTCTTTGTGGATTCAGAGAGTGTCGGCACTAGCGCCACCTGACCAGTCGACGCAGTTGACCCACTCGCCCCACTTGACACTACTGCCTGTGGGGCCAGTGGGTCAAGTGTGGTGGGCGCTCTTAATGCTCCCCCCTTGCTGTCGCAATGGATTCAGCGGGAAGCCCCTGTCAGCAGCTGGGAACGTAGCAGCCGCACAAAGAACACTGGCCCAAACGGAGCACAAAGGTTGGTCATGGACTCGATGCCGACCGCGGCGTCACCTCATGCAGACAAGCATGAGGCGATGCATTCTGCAACAACCACCATGGGTCTTGCGGTATCTTCCAGCTTTCAACTTGCAATGAATCGTTGCAATGCGTGATTGGGCCGGCCTGGTTCGAAACCCGTCAACACGACAGTGCGCCTCTCCTTGGTATGCCGAAACATCTGGTACTCTGCCTCGACGCTCCTGCAAATTGCACTTGCGCATGTTCCTCAGGTCTAGACAAACTCGCTGCCTGGGCCGCCGAATGACCTAGCTGCAGCGGCGCATGCTGCACAAATTCTGGATAGTATTCAGTACAGGTTTCTGCGCCTATGCCCACCTTGCAGACACAGTTCAAAAAGCCAGGGAAAACACGGAGGTGGCAAGGGGGCACCGCCAGCGCGTCTCACAGCATCCCGCGCTGCCTTGGTGCATCGGGACCCTCGTCTGTGTTCCACAACGTCTGGCATTCTCCAGCTGTGGCCCCGTCCGATAATTCCATGTTGAACTTGGGATCTGCAGCCTGACGCACAAGGGAATGCACCACCAGCTCTGCCAAAACTCCCATCTAACCTCGACAGCTGCCACAATTTCAGCAGCAGTCGAACCTGGCGAACTGCATGAAAAACAGTTCTGCCCACACATGCGCTCGCTGCGCTACCATATTGCAAGCAATCTTTGTAACAAGCATGTTCTTCGGAAATGCCCACAAGCATGTGTCGGTATGATGTGGGTGGATGATAGAATCTTGTGGTCTTCACCGGGTATGTAAAAAGAGCTCAACGTTGAACACAAACATGGCGAGACGACAGCCCATTAGGCGCAGCCGCTTGAATGGGAGGATGACCTGGAGTTACCCCTACGTGTCCAGCACTGACACTGGGAAACACGGGCCATAATTCTGGTTTTTATGTAGCAGACGCAAGCAAAAACATATTGGCTCTGCCAACACTGGCCTTTCATTTGGCTACCACGCAGCTGCCAGAAAAATGCGACGGTGACATTGATCACGCTTCGCAATGCTTGGTCTGTGTGACTGTCGGCTTATGTTTACCAATTGCCCTGGCCCTACACTCTTGTGGCACTATGGAGAGCAGCAAGCTTGTCAAGATCAAGCACACTGACAACCAGGTAAGGATCATGATGCGTCTGAACCCTTACGGCCTTCACCTGACACGTCGAGTGATTGCGGGAAGCTTCATTCATGCTGGGCCCAATACGCTGATTTTCACGTAGCCCTCGTCATTCGCCCCCTGAAAGAAAGGGCTGTCGGACAACTCAGCGGCACTCATGTCGGCTTAAAGCCGTAAATTAGCTAAGGCCACTGCGATCTCTTTGCGGAGGAACCAATCACGGCGCAAGTTGGCATCCTGAGGGATGCATGCCGTCAAAGCAGGGTGCTCCATGTTCATGTTGCAACACGGCCAATGCAACAGACTGTCCGAAAAGTAAAAAGCCAGCTGCCGAATGAGTGCTGGTTGCCGCCTTGCTTCATGTTGCAACATTTGCCACGTCTTTGAAAATGATTTACCAATCGTGCCTGGCTCCATGCGGTCGCAATGCATTTTGTGTTGTACTTGTTTCTGTGAAGACGCACTTTGCGCAGAAATTGCGCCCTAAGCCCAACACCCAGCTCTGTCGGACTGCAACTTGGCGACAGCTTTGATTGCCTACGCGCAATTGCAACTCGTGAAGTTGTTGCACAAATCTCTTTGGGGCATTGCCTCCTCCAGCTGATCCAAGTCTGTGAGGCCATCCCTTGCTGAGATGCGCACATGGACAATTCGAGCCCAATCACCGTGCACTATGGCGCGGGCAAAATGGTCTGAAGCCTGCCAATACATATCATGCGTGGCAAACATCTTCAAGAAACACATGAAGTCAGCCAGGTTGTCTGGTCCAATAATTCTTGACGTCCTTTGCGTGGCGGCTCCTGGCTTCACCACTGTACAATCAACAATGATGGCAAGCGTTCATGCTCAAGCGCCTGCCTGATTGTCCGTATCGGCTGCTGACGCTGCAGCGGCTTCCGGCTGCTCATCTGGCACAGCAGCTCACTGCTCGTGAGGTGAGCAAAAAACGCGGTTTTCTGAAATGTCATGTGCTCACAAAACGCACAGCAAATCAACAAGTCCCCGCCATAATCTATCAAAGTTTTGCCCTGCTCGTTGCCGGCAGCATCGTCTGCCATGGCTGCATGTGGACAAAACAACGGTTGACTTCATCGATTAGATGGCTGGAATGTACCATTTCGATACATCGAAAACAGCGCATGGTGTCTCAGACTTGGTGATTTGCTTTGGTGCGCTCGCAACGCATGTGCCCTCCCATACTACAAGATATACATCGGCCAGAACGCTTTATGCAGGCAAACGCTTTTTGATTTCACCTAACAGCATTCCGGACCCTGTTGAAACAACGCCGATCAACACCTTGTCACACACAACAATCCCAATTGCCAAGTATTCCGGGCCCACTGATAGGCAACCATGCCAGAAAATTCCGTTCGTCCACGGCATCAAAACATGAAGACATATCTGACAACCTGAAATCCTGGGGCCGGGGCAAATGTATCGAATATTGGCCTTGGAGTGCTCGTTGTGGCACATCAAAAAATGCTGGAAAAAGCGCGGCGGAACAAGTGCTGAACACAACGGGAGAAAAACCAATTTTTTTGAGTGTTTGGGCTTCCACGGTTTCGCGCATTTTCTGCACACTTGTGGCCACACACGGGCACTTGTAGCATACATCAAAACACGAAATACACCGGTTCTTTTTCCGCAGCCTCAAATCCTGGTCCCTGTGCCAGGCCCTGCCAGCCATGTGCGACTGCTCACGCTGCTGGCAGGGGCGGTCCAGCGCGAATCCGCAAGGGCCTTGTGCAGGTCAGGTTCGGGGCTGCTGTCATGACATTCCAAGTGCAAGGGCGGCTTCAGCAACGATGTTGCAAAGGCTCGCTGTGCTGCGACCAAATGATTGCCACTCCAGCAATGTACCCAGGCGCTCGCGCGCAGGGCCGCAGTCGGCCGCAGGCGCCGTTGCTGCACATGCGTATGCCAACAGGCGGACGAACTGCGGCCACCAACCGAAGCGGCATCGGCGCGCCCTCTCCAACTCAGCGTAGGTGTGGCGGCGCTTGCGCTGGGCGGCTTGGTCCAGCGCCAAGGCTGGTCGGCATCTGCACCGGGCCCGGTCCTGCCATAGTATCAAGCCACAATGGGGCGATATACCTGTAGCTTCCATTTGGACGGTACAGATCCATGCGCCATGAAAGTTTCAACAGACTGGAGGCCGTGATGGCCTTGCAAACTCGGTTTCGGATGCTTTTACGAATTGGAGCCTGTGGGGGCTAAAAAGACTCCACCTCATCGGACACTGGCACTGGTTGGCCAAGAGCCGCACCTGCATGACAAAGAGGACATCGACAAACTAGATTGGAGGATGGGGTGGGGTGTAAAAGATTCCACGATCCGAGTTCAGTCGGAAATGCTGACATTTCTTTTCGTTCAGCTTAAGACCTCTCTTCCCAAAATGTTGAACCAAGTGTAGAAGTCTATTCATATGATAGGAAGAGTTTCCCCATAAGACTGTGTCATCTGCATATTCCAGGTCTCATAAGGGTCCGCTGGCTTGAAAAGTTGCTGGGACATCTCCAAGCAGAGCGCTGTAGGCCGCTTCCACGTTTGGAAAAACATGCGATAAGACAAAACCAAACAGATATGGAGAAAGGGGGCAACCTTGTCAGAGACCTCGTGTCTGCGTACATTCATGGGAGATACCCC